CTGTATGTCACATTCACATCAGGTTTACGTTCAGATGGAAGCAAGACAGGTCATTTGTTTTGCGTATGGACTCAATGGACATGTTGTTCCCAAATCAAGTTGCAGGCGGTGCGCTGAATCGCTTTTCACACCTGCAAAAGTTCAAAAACGATTTGAACCTCCTGTAGGTCATTTCCAGAGACGCACCTCGAGTCCACCACAGATGTTGCAGATTGTTATTTTTGGTCGTTTTCCATCCTTTCTGCTTGGGAACACCCAACCCACAGTGTCCACCAATGATCCAATCCAGGCAAATGGCCATTCAAGGAAAGAGAGGACATCCCGTAGAAAACAGTTGCCCAGTGACTTAGGGTAGTGGATTCTGGTGGAAGGTTGGAAATATGATACAGTACAGTATATCAGAGTGTACTAGAGTTCTAAGTTGATTGTATGCTCCTATTGCTCCCACTGTGGACTGCAGTCAGTTTTGCCCGAACCTTTGAGGCTTCCGCGGAAGCACTGGCGGCAAGGCAGGCTTCCGTGGATTTGCACCGAATCTCCGGTTTTGTGCCAGTTGATCACTCGAAAATCCCACATTCTACCTGAAGAACCAGCAAAACAAGAGGATACAAGAGGCCTCCTGAAGAAACTAGGACCATCTAGGACCCAATTGACAGGTTCCTTTCTCCTGATCCTATGGGTGTCCCTTTTCCATGGCTCACGGACTCCAGTGGGTCTTTCGCTTTGCACTGATATTCAGGGAGCTCTCGGTGCTGAGGGGAATCCATGACTGTTGGCCCGTGACCGTTGGGCCTCCAAACCCACGAACCGTGTCCAGTGAGGACCTCGAAACGATCACAATCTATCTTCCTGGACCTCTCCTGCTCCTCCTCCTCCTCCTCTATTTCACTCGTTTTTCCACATTGTCCAGTGGCCCAGGCTTGCAAAGCGAAACAACATGAAACAACCATCATGTTTTTGTAGATGCGGAAACTCCATGTTTCAAGGGTCCGAAATTGGGAATTGCAGGAGACATCACCGATCTCACGAAAATACCACTGAACTGCCATTGCGCAGTGTTGCGAGGCATCCAAGCCAGGGAGTTGGCACAGCAACACGATCACCTCATGTTGCCGAGAGCCCAGCGGAGCGTTTCCCGCGGCGTGGGCCGCGTTCCCCGCCGTTGGGCCGACGGGCTCCCATGGATCGGTAGGCTGACCTAGAGCAAGATGGCGGAGTCAAAACACCTTGCAATCTCTCCTGGGATGAACTGGTCGTTTGACGGAGGAAAGTTATACTTTGATACCCCTACTGAGGGTGATTTGGGGTGATTACAGTAGTACACAGTACTGGTACAGGCTCCATTGAGATTCTTCTCTTGCAAGGTTTTGATCCTGCATAGCGTAGGGCACGTTTTGGTGGCACTTTTCCAAGGTCCACTGAAAGACGGGCGCTTCTCGACTTCGGCGCTGGACGGAACTGTCGCAGGACTCAGCCTGGCTCAGCTGCATGTTTTATAGTTTGTGTGTGACAGGAAGGGCCACTTCCCATTCCGAATCCCTTCACCTGCTTTTGTTCTGGCTAATTACAGCTCAATTTGTTGTTGCTGCTGTTTTGTAGTTGTGGTGGTGGTTGTTGATACCATACCACCCTTGGCATTTGATACCCGACGAGGATGTATGTTTTATCATGACCAACCACGCCTGTAACCAGGACCCCTTCTCTGCAAGAAACACAAAGCACTTAAAGGATGTAATGCAGAATCGTTTTCTCTATGCTAGTAGCTGACCCGCTAGTAGTTGACTCAATCTGCAGAGGATCAACAAACGTTCTTTTCTGTAAGTGACTCTGAGTCGCCCATTGGGTTTGATCAGATTTTCTCACTTGTGAAGTTGCAAATCTGCACAGATCCTGATTTCACATCCGTGTCGAGGTCCTCGTGTGGGAAATGTCTTCGTGACGTGTCGTTCAATGTCCTGGTCCGCTCGCCCAGCGACATGTTTGGGAGGACCTGGGGAGTTCTTTTTAAGCGGCTACCCGGTAGGTCCTAGAGATTTGGGGCAACATCCGGCAACATCGATGTGTTTGTTCGATTTCTTTGTCCAGACTCGATGTGTTTGTCGATGGAATTGAGCCTTACAACTCGCCTTCACACAGCATGTTATGTGACATCCTGTTTGTGCGAGCACAGTGTATCAGCTTGCCACTCTCTCAGCTCAGTGTATCTCAAACTCCCCCTAAACTGATCCGAACTGTTGACTTGAGGTTTGTGTTTTCTGATATTTTGACCAGTGGAACCAGCGTGGGCGTGGTGCTTGTTGGGAGAGGAAAGATGAAACATTTGTTGGTCGACCTCGAGGAGTGAGCAAGTGGCATCGGTTTCGTTCGTTCTTTGGAGCTCAAACAGGATTTACAGAGGGCTGGTTTGTGACTACAGGCAGCCGAGCTTGGGAATCCTGTGTTACCTTGTTGTGCAGGGTCATTGTCCCAGAGTCACGCTTCTTTTTTTGCCTATTGTATTATGTATTGATGATTCATACGTTGATCATCGTTGTTACTATATAGTACTTGCATCACCACACATTTGGGGGCAGTAACTTCTGAAGGCCTTTTTTTATCCTTTGTTCATGGGTTTGTGTGATTAGGACGTGTATATATATATATATATTCAAAGAGCTTCAGAAACTTCAGAGGGGAAGTGTCCACAGCAATGCCACCTGTAACAAGCCCAGGAACTTGGCAATGCCGCAGATGTTCTACAGCACATGAACGGCCAGGAACAGCGAGATTCCGCGGCTTGGAGCGGATCAAAAGATATCAAAAGCATGGAACAGGTTGCAAACCAGGTAGTGCAGTTCTGCAAGTGTGAGCTTTTGGTCAGGTTGGTGGCTTTTTTTTTAAAGGTGCACAGAGGTCACCGGTCTCATCTGCTGTTCCGAACGGGCACTTCAGCGCGGCCGCGCGTTCCGTGTTCAACGGTCCGACGACTCATGTCTCGTCTCACCGTGTGACGGCGGCTCGATTGAAAAGACCGTTTCGACGAGGGCTCCGTGAGGCTCCTTCGGCGGTCTGGGCGACGAAGGGAGACGACCACGAAGGCACTCAAAGAGTGAGGAAGCAAAAGCCGTAGTTCTGATGGGTTTTTTGGGGGGGGATCCTGCTGGTTGGCAATGGGATGGTTTTCTGGCAACTTTTGGCCTCTAGCTGGCTACAACGACCTTCTCATATGTTTGTTGCGATGTTGTTTCTCATGTAGGCCGGTAGCTTTGAGCACCAGGAACCCTTTTTATGCAATTCTTGTCCGACCAAGGGACCTATGTAGATTTGTGTCAACACTTGCAGGATGACCTATCAAAGTGATGTTCATGGGATTCAACATATTATCAATGGCCTTCTGTATCAATGCCTGCCATGTCCACCCAGATTTTTCCAGCGGCACCTCGGACACATGTCCGAAAACATGTTTGGGATCAAGAAAGGGTTCCTGCGTCCTGCTGTTTTTTTTCTGTAACTATGTGCAACTGCTGTTTTTAAAAGTGTTTAAGGTCTCCTTTGGAGTCTCTCCATGGCCAGCTTCCTTCTCTTCTTGGTTTTGCCAGTTCTCGCCAGGTGAAGCGATGCTGGCACTGTCACCGCGATTCGAGGTTCTGCTGGGACTCATCGTGATTTGTTGGCAACACACCCAGAGTCGGAGTCAACCCGTACTTCTTGGCAACCCACACGAACAACCGGGAGGTTGTTCTACTGGCAGTGAGCAGCCCCAATGATGACTCATTTTGGAGAAGTTCTTGGCTTTCCCTCAGGGCAATAACTTGGATGTTGAGGTCTTTTTGCAAGCCACCGTGGACCCTTGCATGGCTCGAGTTTACTTTGAGTCAATGGAAAGGGCATGAAAGGAAGATCAGTTTGTTTGCACCGACGAGTACCTAAATCTGGTGTTTGAACGGTAAAGAAAGCATCAGAAAGCAATTGACCAGTTCCGAAAGGATTTCGAAGCCGCGTTTGCACCGGGTTCTGTCCGTCTGTCGACTGGGTATTGACCGTCCCCCCGGACCTCACCGGTCGAGGTCCGTCGGACGCCGTTGGAGACGGCCGCCGGTTGGACGGTTGGATGTCTTGGACGCGCGAACAGTTCGGTGGACGGTTGGTGTCGATGGGAGTTCGGTGGTGGAGTTCGGTGGTTCTTTTTCGTGGTGGATAGTAGCGAACTTTGTTTCTAAAAAAGAAGTTACTAATAGCGACGCACTTGTTACTAGTAGCGATGCCCTTGTTCCTAATAGCTTCTTGTTCCTAGTAGTATAAGGCCAGGAGCCCCGTTCGTAGCGTCCGATCGCGCCTAGTAGCGATGCCAGGAGCCCCCCCCTAGTAGCTTCTTGTTCGTGCGTTGGTACTCTGCTCCCTTGGTCAATCACTGTGATGTCACTGTGAATTGACTGATTGGCCGCAATGAATGGGCCGTGTTCGGCGCTGTGAACGACGGCCGTATGTCCTTCAGTGAGAGGTTCTGAGTCGGAGAGACCGAGAAACGGGGAATCAGTGGTGCAGTAGTGATTGTGATTCAGAACTCTATACTCCTTTGGTTGAAGTCGATTCGGTGACGTCGAATTCGCCAACCACATGAGTTGTCAGTCATCACAGCTTGAGGAGCCGGCCTGTACGGCCTATACTGAGAATCAGTATCACTCACTAACCGTATTTTCTTGATCGAGTAAAAAAACTGATTCGCAAAGAGTCAGTACTGATTCCTATCTTTTACTTGCCATTGCGGTTGGCTGGGAACAAATATGTTGCTTTATAATTTTATTGAACCTTGGCGTGGATGTAGCTGCGTAGCTTACACTTTGGGAGTGATTGAAAGACCGACTCCAAATTGACCACACGTGACACCGTGACGTGACCACAGTTGTGAAATGAATTTGCCAAACGATCATGAACTCTGATGAACTCTGTCGATGCAGCTCTGGCCCTAGCTAGATCCTTCGCGCAGCGCTTGCTCGATTCTTCTTAACCTGGAAGAGGTCATGCTGTTTTCCACCCGTGCGGCGCTTCTTGGCCTGAGCTTACTTGGATTTGTCCAAGGCTATGTGAACACCACCGGACTGATTTGTCAGTACGGTTGCTGGGATGAGGAGGATGAAGCCTGTCATGGGGGTCTGAATGATGCTTGGATGCACTGAGGATGTTCACGGCCACGTGTGGCCACGTGCTTCAGTCAGTTGGAAAAACGCATGAACTTCCAGCGGTTCTGAAACAGTATTTTCTACAACGGCCATCAACCCGCAAGCCCATGGAAGGGTCAGCAGGGCATTACATTGATGACCCCGATCGTTGAAAGCCGTCCTTCGAATGAAAGTTGTTTTCTTTGCCATGTGTCACGGCAGATGTTACAGTCAACTTGGCAAGCTTGGCACATACTTCCGACTTGTTGCCATTTTTTATGTGATATATAAGCTCGTAAACCTGCTGTAGAAGCCTTGGCATGTGTTAGCTTTCTCTCCCTGGCATGTTCATGCTAGCGGCTTGGACACCGCATATATGCATATATATGTATACATATGTTTACATTTTACATATGTTTACACTCATGTTTGTATGGTATTTCCTGGCAGTGTTGGGAGGTTCAAGTCCGTGTCCAGCGTCACTTGTCTTTGGCTTGCCTGTGCCTCCCTTGTTTCCATCTTACTCTTGCTTGGCACGTCGCGATTGGTCCCTTTGTTTATTCGACCTGTCAACTGACTCGTTTCAAACATCCAGCCAGCAGCTTCCTGATTCTTTTTCACCGATTCATCAATTGTGATGCTCTTGAGCATTTTACCGCTGGGTTGCTGTAGGTCCAATGACCGATGAGATCCGATGAATCATTGAGAGTCTCTTTCTATTGAGCCAATGATTGTCTTGCAAACCTGCGCTCTCACTCTCAGGGGCAACGTTCGCCGCCATGTCGGTGGGTTGACAGCTTTTTACATCCTTTTTGAAGGCCTGGTGCATGGCACGGGCAGAAAAACAGGGACGTTTGCGGCCACAATATGCCCCGAAAGCGAAACAGAAATGTGTATGTTTTTCCCCACCTGTCAGGTGAGGGTTGTTAGATTTTACGTTAGCCCCATCTCCTCCTTCTTCTCCTCCTCCTCCTTCTCCTCCGCCTCCTCCGCCGGACCTCAACCACGACCATCCACGCCCAGTGTTCCCTGCCGGACCTCAACCGCGAGCTCCAGACCCAAGTGTTCCCTGCCAGACCTCAACCACAGCACACAACCACAACCACAATCACAAACACATAACCACAAACACACAACCACAAACACACACAAACACAGCCACAAACACACAACCACAATCACAACCACAAACAAACAACCACAAACACACAACCACAATCACACAACCACAAGCACACAACCACAAACACACAACCATAAACACAACCACACCAACCCCACAACAACAAACACACAACCGCAAACACACAACCACAAACGCAACCACAAACACACAACCACAAACACACAATCACAAACACACAACCACAAACACACAACCACAAACACAACCACAAGCACAACCACAAACACAACCACAAACACACAACCACAAACACAACCACAAACACACAACCAGAAACACAACAACAAACACAACAACAAACACACAACCACAAACACACAACCGCAAACGCAACCACAAACACGCAACCACAAACACAACCACAGACACAATCACAAACACACAGCCACAATCGCAACCGCAAACACACCCACAAAGACACAATCACAAATACACAGCCACAAACACACAGTCACAACCACAACCACAAACACAACCACAAACACCACAACCACAACACACAACCACAGCACACAACCCGAGGACCCACAAGCAACATCGAGAACTACAATACTGACGACCATGGCAACATGTTCCTCACTATGGCTTCAATACAAATGATTGAAATGTCATGGTGGGGATTCAGTGGGGATCACTCGAAATAAAGTAATTGCAGCAGCGACGACACATATACACACAAGTAGTCACTCAAGTATATGTGACAGACTCAAAGCAAGTACATAAATTGCACAATCCTTCAGGGTCCAATTGAAGCCGCCAAACCATTTTCATGGGACTTTGTCCACCTGCCAAACTTAGACACCCGTGGATGTTAAGACATCGCCACGCATCACACTGACATCCACAACTTCACCGGCCTTTGCGCCAACGAAGCAAAACTCAACTACGAATTCATAGTTCATCGTAGGCATTCTGGAGGGTTGAAAGCTGCACATAAACCTGCAGAAAAATCCTCGCCTTGAAAACATCTGTTGCAATGGATTCTGGCGAAACCAGCAAGAGTTTTCCAAGTTTTGTCTTCAGGAAATGCAGTGTGCGGAGATCTACGGTCATGTCTACTGGGAGCCTTGGTGCGATTGCGTGGATGCAGCCACGGGCCAGGCGAACAACATCACCCAAGCAGAGCCACGCACAGGCAAGCCGTTGGATAAGAGCACCAGTCGGGTGTGGAAAGAAAGAAAAACTGTTTTAGACTCAATGTGTCATTAACGCATCACCTGGCGTTACTACTAGTAGCTAGAAGCTACGAGGTGGAGGCCATCGCTACTAGTAACAAGAAACTGCCAGTAGCTCCTGGCATTACTACTAGTAGCTAGAAGCTAAGGTGCTCCATGGTGCTCCCCATGTAAAACATAACCCCAAGATGCGAGCTGCTCATCTCGTCGTGCATGTTAGTAGTTAAAAGCCCAAGCCCAGTCGTCCGGCCCTGCGGGATATTGACCTTCCACCGACGTTTGCAGCCCTGCGTGCTGCCTGTTCGAGTGTGGCAACTATTGAATTTGAGCCACGCGTTTGAGCTTTCTGTTTGCTGTGAAAGAATGACGCTGATGCGAACGAAGAACACATACCATCAGAAAAGGCCTCCTCGATTGAAGTAAAAGCAAAGCTTCTCTAGGATACTGTACGCATGTTTGGGACATTTTAGGACATAAAGCCACACCTGGGAGGATCTTGTCATATTATATGACCATGTATGACCAGATGGCGCATGGTCCATTTTTGCCAGCCCAACTCACCCAGCCTGATCGTTAATATATGGTATGTTTGTTTCTTTCAGGTGTCGCGAACATCTACTTCTCCGTGCCAGCTTTTGTGGTTCTGTTCCGCGAGAGCCTGGAGGTTGCTTGGTCGTTTACATGAGTAATTGGAACCTCATCAGTCTGGTTCCAATTTGTATGTCCTGCATTGTTCTTTGGCAGTACGGTTGGTCGGTTCTTTCTTGTTGGTGTAAACTTTGATGCTCGGTTTGTCGATCACTTCTGCGTGTTTCCGTCAGCACGTGTTAGAGGACTTGGCACCGAACGCATGCAAGCCGGACATATCGAACGCTATACATACAACTCAAGGTTGTCATCGTCCTCGCCATCATCCTACAGTTTCTGCAAAAGATGAAGCAGGTCAGTTGCTGACATGGGGGCAAGATGGGGCAAGTCACCGCTCTTTTGGGCATCCAGTATTTTCAAGTCTTTTCAGAACTGCATGTTGGAAGTGGGCGGTGGGCGCAAGTGGGCGGTGTCCATCCGCGGAATCTTGTATTACAGTACTGTGTCCATCTAATCTTCCCTAGGGATCCACATCCTCTCTGAGAAGGTACGACTGGACCCCCCAAACGCACCTATACACACGGTCTCCACTCACCGTACCTGAGGTTCGGTACGACTGGATCCCTAGGGTTTTGGGGCTCGGCCCTGGAAAACGCCCCCGCACAGCCCCGAACAGGATGGTCTCATGCAGCCAGAGCAGTACTACAAGTTCCGACGCGAGGCGACCCGTCCGGGGTGGGCGACCCAGTTACCAGCCACCAGCCAGCACGGTCGACCGGTGCAGAGTTCCGGAACTTGGAAGGTCAAACCATTGCCTATAGGCAATGGTGTTTGACCCCTAATGCCTTTCAATAACGTTCATGTTCTTGCTACCACAGTGCTACCACAGTACCTAAGGGTAGTTAAGTTCAAGACCTGTGCCTTACACAGAACGAACTTTTGGGCACCTTACTCCATGGCGTTGGTGGAGCAATCTGGAAGGATGGGACCCACTTCCAAGCAGTGCCATTGGTCATTTCTTGATTTTGATCCAGGTGTGACAGGTGTGTGGAAATGTGTGGAACTTGAACATTCGCTGAAGCGAGGACCGACAGCTGTCGGATGATCGATCCCCAGTGTGAAGAGTTCTTGGATGGGATGGGAGCCTCGCATTCTGTGAAAAAGACTTAAGGTGTTGGTTTCCATGGTAGCTCTTGAGAACGGTGGCGCTAGAGTTTTGCAGGAGATGCCCATGAATCCTATTAGATTTGCATCTGAACTATTCTGAAATAGGCGTCAATATGTAGTCTTATGTACAGCAATAGTACCGGCCGGCTGTTTACGGGCTAAATCCTGCACTGGCCCGCAAAACTCCCAGCAATAGCACATACAGAGCATGCGAGGGTTTTACATGGTTTTACATGGTCCCTCTCCCTCTCAAGACCACCTTGCGTATGTTCAACCCTTGTAGCTTGGTAGGGATGATTTAGCGGACACATCCACACCACCGACACCACCGACACCAGACTCTCCCGCTTGGCACTCTCCCGCACTTGCCAGTCTTGCTATGTCTTGCTTTTCTGACCACTTTTGTCCCCTTCATCTCATCATATCTCATCTTCTTTTCTCATGCTCCTTAGCCAGCCCTTCTCTGAGCTGTTCCCTTTTTGGAGATGCACCAATTCTTCCTGCACCATCCTGCACCATTCCCTCAATCTTTCTTCTGTACCATCTTCAACCGCCCCGCAGGTCTATGTGGGCGCCGGTTTGGGCTTCGCCTTGTGCTTGTGCTTCGGCGTGGGCTTCTTGGCCTTGGCCTCGTTGACCTATCAGCTCTTCGAAGGCGACAATGCACCGCGGCCACGAACGAAGGCGACGAACGTCCCCGGCGGGACGGCGATCGGTGGAGGTCAACGGAAGGGGATCGTCCTCGGAACCTTTGGTACTGTAGTTTGTTCATGTTTGTTCATTCGATCTTTGGATGAGAAAGACCTCTTGGACCTGCGAAACATTGATGTGATGTCACCGAGTCATAAAGAGTCCAGGTATCGCACCCTGGAGGTGTGGGCAAAGAGTGGCAGATGGCGATGCTATGGGTACAAAATTACAAAATGTGCAGCAAATATGGGGAGGTCCCCGAAAAGCACTGGTCTAGAAGACGATCACATGCTGATTAAGCCACGCATGACCTCTGGAACATGATGTGGAAGAGCAGGGAGGTGGCTTTGGGATATCCCAAAATACACATATGTTCTTTAATCTTTGGTACAGTATATTTTTACTTGACTAGTTTAACACCTGGTCTCAAACTTTGTTTGGTGGTGCAAAAGAGACACCCGGCACCTACCGGGTTGGATCCAGGTCTTGGACCAGTCACATCGGTTTCTTTGCAGTCACCTTAAGTACTCCCTGCAGTCACCTGCAGTCACTGAGATCACGGACGAAGGTTTGATATTCACTGAGTCTTTGCCTCTCCCAGATCACTGAGATCCACTACTAGTCACGAAGTGTGGGATCTGGATCTGGGAGAGTCGGAAAGAGACACGTTGAGAATCCCCAACTGCTGGAATTTAAAAGAAACGTGAACTCTTCATGAAAAAAGCGGTTTCACTCTTCATGAAGCTGGACCGTCGGGTACCGAGTAGCGTCCGGGGCTTCCAAAACGCATTCGATGCTGCGAGGAACGCATCTTCCAGTTCTGCATGATGATGCTCACCTCCGCTGTTTTGACCTTCTTGGCCGTCAACTTTTACAAGATGATCTTCACCAAGGACCCGTCCGGCCCGTGGGGCCAAACCATCGGCCTGGCTCGAGCGCGGATGACCGCCGCGGGTCCATCCCAACGGTTATAGCGTTCACTAACGCGCCACAATGTGTTCTGAATTCTTCAGATATTGGAATTAGTTAACTACAAAGAATTCACAATCAGTGATGTCCAAGGGAAGAGTTTTGTCAGGTAGGGTGGTAATTCATCCCATGGGAAACTTCAATTAGCTTTCGAGGAACACACACCTTTTTGATAAAGGTTGCCACGGTTGAAGTTCTTTTGTCTTGCAGTTTGCATTTGTTTGATTCTCTCCAGATGCTTGTATGCAGGCGCAACATGACCCCCCTGGCCTTGTTTTGAAGGCGACAGGCAATTCTACTTGAAACGCACCCGGACAATACTGGTGCTGGGTAGCTTTGCCCCTCTTCTTCGCTCAGCCAAAAGAAAGCACACTCACTCCAGATGGATGTGTTGAACATGAATTACAGTGTATAGATATATATATATATAGATATAACAATATTTGATAATATTGGTGATTTTTTTCTGAATATCATGCATGCTATATATATAGCTGTGTGTATATACGATCGAATCTAATTCCTTTGCAGGGGGCAGTGCTCGTCCAGATTCCACCAAGAACAGCCAGGTGCAGGGTTCGAAGCATCAACCACCGGACGACCTTCGTTGTCCTCGTTGCAGGAAGCGCACGAACGGAAGATGAAGGCCCAGATGGAAGCCACCTTGGAGGCGACCCGCGAAGCCGAGACTGGGAGCCAGGCCGGGAGGACCACCGCGGAGCTTCCGACCCGCGACGTCTTTGGGCGACTGGACTGGGGGAAGTCTGGGGGAATGGTGAGAGGAGGTCTCGTTCTTCGAGCCCCGGCCGAAGACCCTTCGTTCGTGGAAAACAGAGCAGTTACGAGTCCATTGTGATCGTCTGTGGGGCATTCGGAGTAGCGACAGGTCCCGTTTTTGGTGAGGTTCCGCTCCGGTCAGGTGAGCTTTGGCCGGAGGCGTGCCTTCTTTGTCTTGGCCTTTACCACGGGGCTGCGAGAGGGCTTGGAATCGATCGTTTTCTTGGTGGGCGTGATCACAGACGTGAATCTTGGCGTGGAAGAGATGCTGATTCTTTTTCTTGGGGCACCTCCAGGCTTTATGGCTCAATTAATCGCTGCCCTCAGTGCAGTACATGCCTTTGGGGTGGTTTCTTCACCTTACTATGTGTTTGTTCATTGAGTTTTTTTAACCTTACTAGAGCTCAATCAGCCCAATTCTTCAAGACTTTGATTTGAGCATCGTTTAAAACTGCTGCCTGTGAAACTGTAGTAGAGAAGCGTGTGCACGCATGGAGCCCTGTTGAGCTTTTGAATCTGTTACTGCACAGTATTTTTCCTTCCGGAAAAAAAGAGGACAACACATTGGAAGAGCAAATATGTCTACAAAGTTATTAGAATACAGTGACTATATAAACATGTATTATATCCAGCACATCTTGACACACGAGTCAACCAAACATATTTCTATTATGCAGCAAAAAGCGTGGAGCGCAGGCTGGCAAACAAGTGACCTCTTTGTAGCTGCAGCTTCCCTTCCCACCGTGCGGCTACCCACGTGACTAACATCAAACAGCGATTGTGTCCTTTCCTTGTTCAGGAAGGATTTGAGCTCCTTGCCTCTTCCAATCATTAGCGCCCTGATCTTGTCCCGCCTGGTGGGCTGCTGCTTTTTCCAAGGCACTAAGAAGGCTTTTGGGTCGAAAGGACTTAGCACATGGACTTGATAAGGTATCAGCTCACGTACGTTTTGGCCACTAGAATATATATTCAGTTTTCCAGATTTTGACTCATGTAACAGACCTTGGCCTCCAGAACCCGAATTTTCAGAAACTTTGATTCACACGTCGTCACCGTCTTCCTCGTCCTTCCTCGTCTTGGTCTGGATTCTGGACATCCGGACATCCATCCGGACATCACCAGACTCGTGCAGGTTCGCGTGGACTGGTTCATGCGTGGATCTGCCATCCTGCTGATGTTCATTGCCGCGGGCTTCTTCTCGGCCTCCATGCACCAGCTGCAGGAGTTGGACGTCTTCGGCATTTGGAGCCCACGCTCCGAGCGGCCCTGGCAAAACGTGACGCTTGGCGGATCCGTTGAGACAGATAAACGGGCAGCATTCCGTTGAGCGCGAAAAAAAGCATAGCTTATTAGCTATGCTTTGCTGGGTGTTGGGGAATCAATCGAGATACCTAGATGCCTGGTTGAGAAGGAAGAGACTGATATAGACTGATGTATATATGTATCGGATATGTTTCACCAGATACAATATACTACAATTACATAATACATCCATTCATATACTATTGTATATAGTGAATCTATTCTAAATGGTCTGTATCGTCTAGTGCATTTGACTCAAGTCTAATTCGGTGCACCGGGCCGCAACTACCGGCCGAGTGAGCGACGGAGCGAACCTTGCGACGTTCGTAGTAAAGCTGCTGGAGAGTGGTGCTTTTAGACTTCAGAGACGGCCATATTGCACGGTTTTTCACGTGTCATGATATATGTTCTTGGATGTGCTTGGAGGTATAAGCAGCAAACATAAGAAAAAGGCAGCTCTGAGCAAGACCTCTCAGGAATGTTTGGGATGCTCGAGATTGTTGCAATGACAAGACCAATCGCTTCTTTGTCCTAATGCGAGCACTCTTTGGCTGGCAAGATCAAGCAACACCCGTTGAGATCTTTGCCTGGTTTGCCTACTGGATCGTTGGGATTACAGCGGTGCCTCGTCGAAAACAACAAGAGAGAACAAGAAAACACCAAGCACCCACGAATTGGGGTGCGAAGGTGTTTTTTGCTAGGGTCATCCGGAAAGTGGTGGTTTGGTCTTGGTGCAGCTGCAGTGCCTATAGGAGTGTAGCAAAATGATCACTATGACTCGACTATGACCGACGCAAAAATCATTCTTTACGAACCCATTACAGGTGTGCCATGTGAGGAACCGTGGAGTCAAAGGTAACTATACTGACTGGTGCTTAGTAGGGAATAAGGGAATGAGCCCCCAATAGAGATTCTATTGGATCCATTCCCTCATTCCCTGCTAAGCACCAATCAGTATAGATGCGTTTTTTTTTGTGAGGTGCTCTTGATGGTCCATCGGGCCAAGAAGCAACTGGCCAAGATGATGGACGAATGGCGCAAGCAGGATGAGGCAGCAGAGAAGAAGGAAGGCGAATTGTCTGACTCTGTGCCGGCTGAGCCCTCCAGTGCTTAGGAATCCACTTCGGATGACTACAAAGGAGTACCATAGCTAGCATTCCGGCGAGACTGCTTGAGCATTGGGCCGGAACCCAGTGCCGATTTGATGCCAAACTTGGAGGGAGAGAAGTTGCAATCGATTCTTTCCAGGAATAATGTGTTGGTGTCAGGTCTTTTTGCAAGGCAGCAGAAAACAACGCATAAGTCTTGGGTGATGGCAGATTCCGAATATCACTATCTTATGATTCCTTGTGCTTTTTGCACGCTTGCGTGCTGCCCGGGGCAAGGGGGTGAAGACTATGTAGCAAGGTATAGGCGACCAGGGTGTCTTTCCTTTCTGCCATGCTTCTAGACCCTGGATGATAGGGGCCGATAGGGCAACGACCAAACCATGTCGAGGCTATGGCACAGAAAACCATAGTAGGCGTGGTCCGTACCTGAAACTTTGCCGTTGTGATGCTCAAGCAGCTTTGCCACCAAACTTTTGCGTATAGAGATTGTCCTCGGGACCAAGAAGTACTGATCGAACCAATTACATGACAGGATTTAGTTTTAGTATGTTTTAGTAGTTTGAACATCATTGAATCATATTCAATGCTGTAGCAAGTAAGTTATTGCCTTTTTTAATCCAAGAACTTGAGTTGGCGAACACTTAAGTCAACTGTCAAGTCATGGTGGATTGTTGCATTGAGCAAGTTGCGTGTCAAAGTCTGTTGAGAACTGGCAAAGTTAAAGTTTGGAGACCTTTTTGTGCACGTCACAAGCTACTGTATTGCTTCTGACGCCATCAAGTTGCGCCATCCGAAAGAATTGCTCGCACAACAGCCAAACATGAGTGGTGTGGTGGCACCATCAAACAATACCAAAACCTTTGTGTCAGCAAAGCATGAAGATCGCATAAAAGCCAAGAAAACACATGACTGCACGGGCTGGCGATTTGGATCAATATTTAATAAGCAAGGACATGCGAGGACATCAATTGTTCCAAGGCGATCGCCCGTTGCCTAAAGGACACAATGACCTGATCTGTTTCTCTCGCTCGCAGATATACAGATCTACATACCTCCCAGATGCTGCTGATGCACGAATCTTCCCTGGCCGAAACTCACCCAGGTACGTTTGCTTGATGGTCCTTGATTGAAGGTCTTCAGACCCAAAGACATGTTGATCCAAACGGACATGTAAGTCGTCGACACGTTTGCGCATCCTGCTCAGGGAAACTGACATGGAGCCATAGCCCGCGGTTCCCCCGCGCTCAGATTTTTGTAGCCCATCACGCGTGGTGCTTGTGACGCTTGTACCTTGATCAGCGAACTTGATCATCCGAACTGGTCTGTGGCACAGCAGTCAGCGGCAGAACTGTTTCTGCTCAGGTGAGTACTTCCCTGGTCGAACACATGGCTCAGTTCCCCTGTCGTGTCAGCCAATTCACTCTGATGGAAAACTGTGGTTTCCATCAGAACCAGCTCGGTGAATGCCATGCCTTCCGAATCGGTGAACACATTCTCCACGGCCGCTTTCTCGGTCGAACCAAATCATCGTCCGACGTACACGACGTACGGTCACACCAGTTCTATCAGAATTCCTGTGCTGTAGCGGTTGTGAAAAATACCTTCATAGAACATCCCCATCAACATATCCCGTCATATCCCCTATAGAATGAGTGACAAATATCGAATCACACGTAGAACTTCATAGGTTGTGACACATACAGGATTCTTCCTCATGTATCATACCTGATTCTGCCACCGCTCACTAAGCAGAAGATTCAGCTGTATATTTCCAAAGCATCAGGAACACAAACAACACATGTTGGACTCTGGTTGATTTGCTCACAAAATCTTTGAAGTCCACTCACAGATATGCAGTTTCTGACAAATTCAGCTCGCCCGACTCCTTTACTAGTCTTCACTTGCCACGGTAGAAGCACATAGTTGCTGTGTTCTAGTGACAAGACTGCAAGATCAGGGTCACCAGGCTTTGCGGCTCTTCTGTCTAAACTTGAACATAGCCTAAATCCGTGTCATTGGGAATATATGGCCACTGTAAGCCACTTGGTCAGACACCAATCAGCCAAGCTTGTGCTATTCAAACATCATGTTGAAGGTCCTGAGGAGTCTAATTTTGCAAAGTCAACGCGTGATCAAAGTCAGCAGCCATGCTGACAGACAGTGTCAATCTGTTTCTGAGATTTAGCATGATAATGATACTCGTATTTGGGATGATGGTCATGTTCACCTCTTTGTTTTCTAGACTTGCAGTTTTGAACTTGTCCTTCAGTTGCAATGATTCGCGTTGCACAAATAGTTTGTAACCAGGCCTGGGGCTGCCGGGGCCATCGTGTTTTCCATCGGCCAAGAGGCTAAAATGCATTTTGGGCCGCTGTTCGGAATGTTCCCTGCTTTCGTCGAACAAGTGACCGGACTAAGTCCTTCACTAAGTTTGAACTTTGTGGGCCGACTTGGGTGTTTGCTGAGTTTCACGGACGAGTTCAGAAGTTTTCATGTGTTGTTTTAGTTAGTTGCTTGGAAGTTTGGACTTGCTTGCACCCAAGTGAAGCAGACCTGGAATTGTGAGTCACCACCTGCAGTCGCATTGCGTGGTATCAATTTGTAAATCCTGGCCCCTGCGAGTGTCAGGAATTGCCTTCTGGCTGTTCGGATTGAATTGTAAGCGTCAGTTGGAAGGCCTCGACATCCGGCGCATCCGGCCTATCCGGCGCATACGCTGGTGATGGAAAAGCTGGTGCCAAACGATTTGACCCGCGGAATCGGAGGAAGTTTGAGCGTCTCAAAGAAATGACTTGGTCAACTGCAGCCACACCTTTTTTTGCCCCCAATTTTTTCCGGTTGGAAACACGTCGTGGAATTTGGGGCTAGTTCTGAAGCTGGACACATGTTTTTCAAGCACAGGAAAGCTGCGCTCAGCGAGGATTCGTTTGTGTTTTTCTTGGAAAAAAACAAAAATAAACACATAGAAAAACAAGGGATGGACGTCGGGAAGGCGTCGCGCTAATTTGCATGGTTGGTGTACGCAACGTCTCATGAGGGTCATCGTTTTTGCGTTGTGTTCGCTTTCTAGCAAAAGTGTTTTTATCCAAATGTATCACGAAAGGTAGCGGTTACGCTACCTGAGTTTTCCTTTTGCTTTAGCAAAAATGAATTATAACCAGAGTGGACACCCATCTCACTGAGAAATCGCCTCCGACATTTACTTTTAAGGGCCGAGCCCTCCCCCCCTTTCAACTCCACCCTGGCGCGGGTCTTTGTCAACAGCTACAAGTCACTGTAAATACCAGTGTTTTCAGCTCCTCCAGTCTGCAAAAGTGGCCTCAAACCGCGCAATTTACAGGGTTTTCTGTGGCTGTCCAGCCAAAAACATTGTAAAAACCGATGGTTTTTGAAGTGTCTAGGCTTCAAAAATGGTCGAAAAATTGCCAAAAACCTGGAAAGATTTTGTCGGAGAGGGCTTTTTCGGCGTTTGGAGGCTTCTAAATGGCACAAAACGACGGTATTTACACGGGTTTGTGCGCCTTCCCGGCACAAAACCCTGTAAATTGCGATGGTTTTGGGCTGTGTACGCTTCAAAGTGGCCACAAAACACCGTAAATGCCAGTGTTTTCATGTGTTCAGCTCCTCCTATCTTCAAGAGTGGCCTCAAACCACGCTATTTGCAGGTTTTTTTGTCGTGGAAAGGGCTTTTGCGGTGCTTAGAGGCTTCAAAGTGGCACAAAGCCCTGTATATTGGGATGGTTTCAAGCTATGTACGCTTCAAAGTGGCCACAAAACACCGTAAATACAATTAATACCAGTGTTTCCAGGGTTACGCCTGATTCCCTGCTACCTTTCGTTCACCCCCTCCTCTCTCAAGTTCAACTTGCAGGCGAAACAGCGTTTTCGGAAAAGTTTTTGATACTTAGGCGTGTGCGGCGCTGCATTTTCCTGCTCACTTCGACCCGCTTCTCATCGCTTTTGCGATGGCAGGGATGAGATCATCGCCTCAGTTGTGGTACGGAAACTGCAACTCCGAACATAGTTCAAGAGTTCCGGATTGACAGCTCGGCTCTTTGCAAAGGTTGTATTCACATGCTTGGATATTCAAGCTTTCAAGCTTTTCCATGAGCTGTCGTGTTCCACCTATCTTCGACGACGTGGGCGTAGGCTTCTTTTTGAGTTTCTTCGTGAACTGTTGCTTCACATGTTTCACCTGCACTGTCTTTAGTTTATTGTGAGCTTCCTTTGCCTCTGTAGGCCATGCAGGAGCACCGCCGCTGTAAAGCAAACGAAATTACGAAGTTATCTTAAAGTAAACGAAGTACAAAGTTATCTTCAAGTGAACGAACGAAAGAAAATCGACGTCATTGCCCTCCCCACCCCCCTGAAATGTAGAGCCTACTTGTACAGGTTCCACTCCAGTGGCCTATCTAGTGTGTCCATACTTGACTGCCATAAGGCTCAAGACGCTAAGAGGTATAGGATAAGACTCTGCGTGAGCAAAAGACACTAGCGGTCTGCACCTCAATCGTGTACGCCCTAGTCACTCTTTCAGTGGTAGCGGGGCAGTGATCCTGGAAGACCCAGGTGAGCTCCTTTCCTAGGCATAGACTTGCTTGTGGGCAAACGGCCATGGATTGGATTGACGACTGGGAAGAGCCTGATGCGGATGTGGCTTATGAGCCAGCAGCCTATGTGAACAGGCATGTGAGAAGAGAACCAGCAGCTATAGCAATGACAACACAGGTCACTACAAAGGTGCCCCCATCTTATGATGGAAAGACTTCATGGTTTTCCTATGAGGATGCCATAAACGATTGGTGTGATATCACCGAGCTGGAAGATGAGAAGAGAGGACCAGCATTGAGAAACAGATTAGAAGGAGAAGCAGCCGTATACAAACGAGTATTAGACAGAGATGCATTGAAGGCAAATGATCCACCAGGAGCTGGAGTAGAATACTTCAAACGAGTACTACGACCATATTTTGTGAAAGGATCAACCAATGTATTCCTGTATAGGT